CCATAATGTGTAAGCTTCGCCCACAAATGGCTGTTAGTAGTTATTGATGAAAGGGGTAATATTGTTGTCTGTTTTATTGTATCTATTTTTCAATGACCAAAATAAATATGATGATGATTACTGTATAAGAAATGTAGTGGGAGACAACCCACTCCCTGCTTCCATTTGGAAGAGGTTCCCTCTGGGGAGCACCAAACAGTTGCAAACCAGAAATATAAATCCAGGAGACCAAAAAAAAAAAAAAAAGATGTTAGTAAAAAGAACAGCAGAAATGTTCTGGGAGAACTGCAACTTCACTTTTTGGTGAACAGGAATGTCAACAGGAAATAATTGTTTGGACTAGTCCAGAAGTGGCCCCAGGGAACTCCTGTTTTCTCGCTTGCCCACCTGGATAGGAAGTCCAGTGGGGGGTGGAAATGTGGATGGAGCAGGCAGGGCTCTTTGGGACCCTTGATTCCCCTAGTCGATTTGGCTCAAAGGAGCCCCCTCCCCACTTGAAGAAGACAGGGAATTTTTGTGGAAATTCCTGGCTTTCATCTTAGTTTCTTTTTCTTTTTTGCTGCTCATCTGAAGCTTCCTGAAAATAAACTGAGCTAACCAGTAAATTAACTTATCGCTGTAAAATCCACTGAAAAGACACTAAAGTTTATTAAAACAGGAGGAGAACAAAGTGTTAGTGTTAGAGCGACTTTTAAAACCTCACAGTTGAATTTATTTTTAAATAGAGAAACCAAAGGTGCTCCCTCATTAATTCAAATATACTGTATAAGCTACTTCTTCGAGAAGCTCCCCTAATGGCTTCAGGGGAGGACTTTGTATTGTATGTGTGTATCTATTTCTAACTAACTAAAATACATACACACACACACACACACATTGGTTTAGCAGATATTTCTCCCTAATTCCCCTCACTCCCAGGTCTCTTTTTCTTACCATTCCCCAAACTAAAATTTTCAATTCCTTTTCATTTCCACTATATACTAAGGGAGAGAGAAGATTATCAAATACCCCTCAAGGAAATTCTGGAAACAGTGTCAGAGGGAACTTATCTTTATCTTTTTCTAAAACCAAAGATGCTAAAGCAAGGGAAAATGAGAAGAAGCTTTTCTTCTAAAGTAGAATAAAATGTAATTATACGTAACAAAGTAAAAGATACGGAAATAAAACATTTCCACAATAAAAACAGCTTCCTATCTGGTTGCACTTCTGCCCTCCTAGTGAGCTTTGACATTGAGGATCCCTTCCCTTGTCTCAGCTCTTTGCTTCTGTTACAAAATAGCTGCCTCCATCTTTGAAACTTCAGGAGACACTGGAATGACATACATTTGGGTGACTGTCATTCGGAAATATGGTTTTGCACTGTATATTTTGGTACAATCTATCTCTATCTTACCATCTCTATATCTCAATATACATTCAGATAGCTGCCTCCATCTTCGAAACTTCAGGAGACACTGGAATGACGTACATTTGGGTGACTGCTGCTGGGAAAGTTGTGCTGTACACTTTGTATAATTTATCTCTATCCTATCATCTCTATCTCTCAATATACATTCACATACATAGACACTATTCCACAGAAGCCATAGCATTATTCTTTTAAAAATCCGAATTAAAATGTGGGGTCCCTCAAGTGGTTTATTTTTATAAGGAAAAACTAGAGGAGGAAGTTTTAGGTGGGCTGACTTAGAAGGCTTGAGGATACACTTCCCAATTTCAGAAAGATTCATGCCTGCCATGTGCATTGTCCAGTGTAGTAGTCAATCTCAGAAGCAACAAATTGATCTTTCTTTTTTTTCATCTTTGTCCCTCAGTTTAATTTTGTACATTACAACAGAGGCAATTGCTGTGCTCCTCTGAATAAGTCAAGGATGTCAGTAGTACAGTTAAGCCATGCTTACGTAGACGTGCAACAATTCTGGGGCATTTGAGGAAACCAGTCTTGTGTCATGTGCAAAAGAGCAAAATGTCAGGAAGAGCAACTTCCAACCTGCTTCTCTACACTAGTTATAGCTTCTGAGTAGCTGCAGTAAGTGCCAAGGAAACAACAGAATCTAGAGAGGATGTCCAATAGGGGAAAGAAGACTTCTCTGACACCTACTCTTCTCACAGGGTATGATTGTGGACTCAAAAGGTAACCTTTCCAATGCACTTTACAGTGATACATAATTAGTACTGAGACGTTTGCCCTGTAGAAGAACCTCACCACAGAGATTAAGATGGGGCCAACTGAAGGCTGTGAAAACCTGCCTTTTTCTTTAGGCATTAGGGCTGAGTTGTGGATTGTGAGCTTGGAAGGAAGGAAGGAAGGAAGGAAGGAAGGAAGGAAGGAAGGAAGGAAGGAAGGAA